TGTCTCTATTTGCAGTCTGGCGCAATAACGCGTCTCCCCCTCTCTGGGATCCTGTGTGTCAGATTCGGAGAGCCCGTGGCTCACACCTCACCCCGTCTGCGTGACATCTGCTGCGCAGAGGCGCGCAAGTGAGAAAAGCCGTAGTCTGTCACTGTCATACGACCCACCGTGCCAGATGTGGGATGCCATATGGGCTGATGCATGGGGTTCCAGCGCTGAGGAGGAGGTCCTCGAGAGCCTCGATACTTAGAGATGCTGGGCTCTCTTTGGTGCTGCTGTTCTTCATTCATTAGCTCCTGCTAAAGCCATGGTAAAGTAATCACGGTGGGACTGACAATACATATTCAGGAAATCAAGACACTTGACCTCAGGCTAGATTGAATACTGAATCAATTGCATGTAGATAAAAAATGAGAAAACACCTAAACATTAGCTGTAAATGATTTGGTGAAACTCTCAGTAACAGCAGATGTGCTCTTGCCAATAAAAACCAAGCAATAGGGCTGAGTGATTTCACAGAATCATTTAGTTTGGAAAAGACACCTAAGATCATGGAGTCCAGCTGTAAACCTAGCATTGCCAAGCCCACCACTAAACCATGCCCCTAAGCACCATGTCTACGCATCTTCTAAATACCTCCAGGGATAGGGACTCGACCACATCCCTGAGCAGCCTGTTCCAGTGCTTGACAACCCTTTCGGTGAAGAAATTTTCTCTCATATCCAATCTAAACCTCCCCTGACACAACTTGAGGCCACTTCCTCTCATGCTATCACTTGTTATTTGGGAGAAGAGACCAACACCCCCCTCACTACCCCCTCCTTTCAGGCAGTTGTAGAGAGCGATGAGGTCTCCCCTCAGCCTCCTCTTCTCCAGGCTGAACACCCCCAGCTCCCTCAGCCGCTCCCCACCAGCCCTGTGCTCCAGACCCTGCCCCAGCTCCGTCGCCCTTCTCCGAACACGCTCCAGCACCCCAACGTCCTTCTTGTAGTGAGGGGCCCAAAACTGGACACAGTATTCCAGGTGCAGCCCCACCAGCGCCGAGTACAGGGGCACAATCACCTCCCTGCTCCTGCTGGCCACACCATTCCTGACACAAGCCAGGATGCTGTTGGACGCCTTAGTCACCCATGCACACTTTTCCGTCAATACGGATCAGACACCTGTTGAGAAATTAGCAGGGCATCAGGACATGAGACAACAATATACATTTTTAAAGGAAATCAGCTGCTACACCAAAGGTCATGTTTCAAAGTCTTCCATCCATTCTGGAAAGCTTCTGAAATGGAAATGAAATCTGTGTATTTTACCGTAAAAGTTATTCAAAATTGCCCTTGAGGAAAAGTTCAAACAAAAGCAACACATTAGTTTGGCCAAAATAGAGCTCATACCATAGCAAGAGTTAAGATGATGCCGTTTAGGAAGAGAGGCTGCTAAGCTGTACCTAAACAATGGCTACGCAGTGCACAGCAACAGCTGAACAAAAATGGGGAACACCCTCTTGCGTTGACCCTGACAATTCACAAACCATGCTGTTGACAGGTACTGGGCATCGCATTTCTTTTGCAGGCAGCAGTAAACCACAATTGCACTGCAGGGAGCGGGATGAAGGAACAGAAATTCTGCCAGTGGTTTTATTAGGGTCTGTGTTTGATCTAGTCCTCTTCAACCAATAAAACAGAAGATCTAGCAGAATACATTCCAAACAAATTTTGTATTTTATCAACTCAAACCATGTCTCAAGTCAAATTCCCACATTGTGAACTTGCTCAAACTACCATATTTTCAGCAGCAGATCAGATTTTCATTAGTTTAATCACTGAAAATGCTGTGCTAGGAAGTCACTAGAGAGTTCTCTTCCTTCTCGCAGTGATGCTTTAGCCCCCTGGCCCAGGGCTCTGCAAAGCAGATGAGATGTTTCAGACCTGGTCAAGCTGCTGGCATCTGGACACTGCCCTGACTTGCCTACGGAATCACAATTTCCCATGCTTAAGCCTCTGGAGCTTGAACAGGGGCTAAACAACATGAATTTGCGTTGGGCTCTCCAGGCATGGCTTTGCACACAGAATCTCTCACTAGAAATATTTTCAGAAACTCAGGAGCTGCTGCCCCTGAGCCTAATGTTTACCAGAATTCCTAAGAGCTCCAACAACCAGGAAACACAAGTCTTCTGAGGAAAACCAAATATATGTATGTATATATGCACACAAATAGATTTCTCTACAGATTAAACACATGAATTCTGCAAGCAGTCTGTAATGAATTCAAACAGAAACGTGCAGAAAATGTAAAGGTCCTGACCCACTACCCAACATACAAAATAACAGAACATCATCAACGCAAAACAACTGGATGCTGGGCCCCATTCAAAAACACTCTTGACAAATATTCCTGCAACGTTTCAAACAAAAAAGCACACTGCTATCATGACACGCTACGTGTTCATCACCCAGTGGAATATGTATTTGGATAAACTCAGGGTGTCAGCTAGCCCTTTCATCTTTAACTTCTGTGAGACTGCAATTCTTTGAGAATTGCGTCATTAAGTATCAGAGGACAGACCAACTGTGGTGGGCATCTGACAAAGACCACCTGGCCAAAATAGGAAGCAGCTGAAAATTTCTTTAGATACCTGGAAAAAGCCTCTTAATAGCAAACCCTGGCAGACTCGATCTCAGGCACTCTGACATCTGCTGGCAGGGCAGTAGGTTTGTGCACAAGCAATCCAGGAGATTTATGGAGACCATCAAGGCCAATTTCTTGACACAGGTGATCAATGAGCCAGCTAAGGGAGATGCTCTGCTGGATCTGTTACTCAAAAAAAACCCAAACGAAACTGATCCAAGATGGAAAGGTGAAGGCAGCCTTTCCTCCAGACTGTGAAGTGTAAGGTCCTTGACTGTCCGTGCAGTAAAGCAGCCAAACTCTATCCAGAGCTGTACCAACAAAAGCAGAGCCAGCAGGTCAAGAGAAGGGATCCCTCTCCCCTGTTTGGCACTTTAAAGACACCTGCATCCAGTTGTGGCTCCCCAGTGTAATGACAACATAGATGGATGCTCACCAGTATGTCAGAGTACAGAGGACCACCAAGATGATCAGGCGACTGAAGCATAGGATGCGCAAAGAGACTAAGACCTGGGTTTATTCAACCTGGAGGTGAAGGGGGATTTCTTGCTGCCTATGACTACCTAATGCAAGCATGTAGCGAAGAGGGAGCTAGACCCTTCCCAGAGGTGCAGAGGGATAAAATGAGAAGCAATACGTGTAGGCTGCAACACAGAAAAGTCCAGTTAAATGTACAGAAAAATATTTTCATCTAGAGGGTGGTCAAATATTGGGAGATAACCCTAAAGAGGTTGTGATCTCTGTCCCCAGAGACAACTGAAACTCACCTGGGCAAGCTGATCTCCAACCTGATCCAATTGGCCCTGGTATGAGCACAGGGATGAATCAGAGACCTCCGGGTGGCCCTTCCTAACTAAATGATTCTATGAATCCATGATCCGAGTCCAACAGCAGAATTACAACCCTGTACTTCAGGACAGCAGACATTCAGCTGAGAAATGGCTTTAGAGAAGCCTAATAAAGAATAAGGACAACACCCAGTCCTTGTTTTCCTATTGCATTTGTTCTACTACAATGACATTTTCTATCATCTTTATTCTCTGCCACATGCAGCTATGCATGACAAAGTGACCATCTCCTACATTTAGATGCATACTGCAACTGTGTGTGTCTGTGGAGCTCAGTGTATATATGTCAGTTTAAATGATAATCCCCTTTGGGATTTGTGGGACCCAAATTGAGTTAAAATTGGTGCTTTTTAGAGGTCAATGCAAAACAAAGCAATGAAGACTTGCACACTGAGCAACACCTTGTTTACTCATCTCCTTTTTTTTCCCCTCCTCCAACAGTTCATAGTCTACACCATGTGTTTTAATTGCTCAGACATCACACCTGGTGCTTGGACATGAATCTCAGAGCACTTCAAGCACGTTTTAACATCACACCAAACCTTTCATCTTCTCACATCCAGAAACAGAGGTGGCCTGCTGTATCATGTTGACTGAAGAGGACAGTGGCAAGAGAGGACTTCCATGACACAGATAAATCCGTGTGAGAAGAGAGGAAGAGTGTTTTTCCTGTAGGATTCAGCCCTTCAAATCTTTAAATAACCTGAGGAGCAGCTTTTCCCAGCTCAAGTATATGATCAAGCTAGCCACAGCACAGGCTTTTGCCTTGAGAAAACCCCATGTGGATACATTAAATCTTTGCATTAGCTTAAGGATCACAAAAGTAAACAAATCCATGGCAAAACCCAAAGCATCTCACTATACAGAACAAATCAGGCCACAGTCAGATCTTTAATAAAAGCACTTTGAGTCAGTGACAAACAAGATACAGCAGACATGACAACTCAGAAAAATCAAGTTGGGGGCAGAAGTGTGCTGCTTGTGTTTTCAGAGGATCAGATAAGGTCCCTAAAACTAACCATCCCCTCAGCAGCTTCTCAGCTGCTCATGACACACTAGAAGACTGCTAAAAAAAGTCACTCATGCCTCACCCCTTCTTGAGTTGGTATGGAAGAAGCATAGAAGGGTCTTTGTTCAGTCCAAAACTGATGGAGCAAATTAACCCAGAAAAAACACTCCAGTTCTAATCTCCGAGTAGGAGATTAAGTTGATTTTATAGGAAGGAAAGCAAGCAACCTATACTCCTCCCTACTTCCTCCAGTTTCACAACATGCATTTCAGCTAGGGCACCTCTGTGGAGAGAGGCCTGACACTGCCAGCCTAACAGGATTCATCTAATTTGAGCAGGGCATGGGAGAAATCATCTCACTGTCAAAACCGTTCCCCATCTTATTGGCTAGTCTGTTCAAAGAGGCTGGTCAGCCACATGTTTGACAAGACTGTGCATTTTCATTTAGCAATCTTCTGTCCTGCTCCCCTTATTGGCACATTAGGAGCCAATAAAAGTGCACAGGATCCTTTTCACCATGACATTAGCTAAGTAACCAATTCTAATTCCGAGAGTCAGAGTGATCCTCTTTCACTAACAAATAAGGCCCTGAAGCTCCCTTGGTAAGGGGAGGGGTTCTGCAGCACTGAGAGGAGTATGGCAAAGGGCTTGTTCTCAGAAGCCCAGCACACACAAGAGCTTTGGAAGGTTGTATCCCTGCACTCTGGTCTTTGGGTAGTGCCACCTGCTCAGTATCTGTAGTGGTCTGGCTTGAATGGCCCATCTCTCGATAAGCCTAGGTATTTGGCCTGCTTGTCACTCAGCTTCGTCAGCTTCACACACAGTTTATCCAGATGAGCAGCTGCCACAGCTTCATCCAGCTGGAAAACAAAACATTGAGACAAGAATATTAGCAGAACAGACTACTGTTAGTTCAGGAAGTCATGGTCAATAGTGAGAAATGAGTATGTGAAAGCCAACAGCAGCCCCAGGGAGGACTTAGACTGATGCAGATGAGCTCTTTTCCTGCCAACATACCTCACCTGCTTGAGCACAGAGGCATCTGCTTTGAGCGCAGAACTGCATTCAGAGGGATGCTTTTGCAGGAGTCAAATTAAGCTTAAGTGAGACAGACAACTTTGTATAATCAAGCCCATTTCAATCTTATTTACACATTAACATCCATCCAACAAGTAAAGAACAGAGATCAAACTGTTCAGAGATAAGAATATCCAGTCTGGTAGAATGGCAAATCCCCAGTCATGTTTCCACTACAAAGACACCTGGACTACATAGACACCTAGACTGTCATCTTACAATTTTAGGTAAGTTCTAATACTGGAAAAAATGCATCTCCTTTCCAGATATCCCATCTTAGGGGTACATGTATTAAAAAATTCATTCCAGAATCACTAATTAAGCAAGAATGCTAGTATCTATTGGCATTGTCTTCATAAAGAATAAAGCCAAGGTGGGCTGTAGGACATAGGCTTAGAAATGTTGATATATTTTCTTTATCCCAGAGGCATCAGGCAGACATGCAAACTCAAGGGATTGAAAAATGTGTAAAATTACAAGACAGTTAAGTGCTACAGGAGATAGGTGCAGAAGAGTCAGAAAACAAACAGTAAAATGGCAAAATAGCTGCTATGTCAGAGGGGAATGTACAGCCATAAAGGATACCCAAAGACAGAAAAGACAGCACTAAGGAGGGATCAGGTGCTGCTGAGTTACAATACAACAACAAGTTCGACCCCCATTTGTAATTCCTGCAAAATACAAGTAATCATTGCTAAGGAAACAGATAAGGTAAGTCTAAATTCCAGCAGCATGGGAAAGACTGGTGATATTTCCCCCATGCTAGTTAAATAAATGTGAAAGTTAGCAATATATTTGATGGGCAATAAATAAACAGAGCAATGAAGGGCCAGATCTTCAGCTTGTGTGAACCAGCATGTCCTAAAGCATTCAATAACTAGATTTCCCACTCAAAGGGAGTGTGGTAACAAGCAACTACTTTGAAGTAATCCCATTGTAAGGAACCAGGTAAAAAGCTACATCCGTACAGAGTATAATTCACTACATCTCAACCTGCTCATAGTAGAACCGCCAACATCTCTTGAGAACCAACAAAAAGATATACAAGACAAAATTAAAAACATAAGATCAAGTGCTTGAAGAATGTGGAAGCGAACCTTGAAAGCTACCGAACACTACATAGGAGTCAGGAAAACCACAGAAGAAAAAAGCTAACTGGAAGGACTCTGCTTAGAAGTGAAACAAGTATTTAAGCTTAGTAGATTGTCAGAAAAAAAGAGGAGGGTTAAAAATTGAATGCATATCTGGTTGACCAGACTGATATGTGAAGATCTGATACATGCATTTCCTGATTACACCCACTTGAAAAGGAGCTGAGTTCCTGATGTTTCCTAGATCAGGTTCTCAAACTGCAGCAGAGATGAGTTGCTTCACAGCTGCTTTAGCTTGGGGACTTCAAGACTTAGGTAAAAAGGTACACAAATTTACATGAAGGTAAGCCGACGTTCTTACCTTAAAATCAGATAGTTGAGCATAAGGATGGACAGATTTGGTGCCAAGAACATGGACCCAACAGTTTGCCTAGATTGCTGGGAACACACATTGCAGAAATGTGTGCATGTTTGTAATAGCTGATCATCAAGGCAATATTCTTGCAGTCAAAGAAAGCGCAATGTAAGGTACTTGGTAATTCTCAAATTTTACATTTGGACCTCAAAAGCTACTACAAAGAACAAGGAAAGACACTAGCCAGAAAATTATCAGAGAACGCTCTTCTGCCCATCTTTTGTTGGTTCTGACAAGGCAATTGCTTTATTCTTTGAAATTCTATGGAGTGCAGAGGGTGAGTTGTTACATGAGTTCTTACGTTTTTCCAAGAACAAACAACACACAGAGAAGTTTAAAGGGAAGCTGGAGGGAATGTCGTCAGTATTTTTTGAAGCTATTAGGACCAGATTGTGGTAAGCTCTGCTCAGGTGCAAATGGGATCCAGACTCGATCACTCACAGTAGAAGTAATTCCTAGTTTCACTCCAGCTTCAACTCTGCCCCACTAGACTTTGCTGCGGGATAGGCATGTGAAAGCTTGCCGTGAATGCTGACATCCAGCAGAAGGAACAAGTTGGTTGGGAAAAGCTCCTTGACTACCCTGAGGCAGCACAGGGCTTCCCTGCACCTTAGGAAAGAGCCCCAGCTCAAGCCAAAAAGTGACTGATGTTCCCATCGCATGTGACAGACAAGCCCCAGTTCTGCACAGCAGGTTTGCCACAAAAAACAGCTCACTTCAGACTCAGTGTGACCAAAGCCAAGCATTCACTGAGGGACAAAAGCTCCTCACAACAACGTTCAGTAGGAAAATGAACTCAAGCACAAACAAAACAAGTCTACACGATCACATCTGAAGTTGGCTTCCTTACAAGCTTCCATCCTTCTGCTATTCTAACTCACCTTCTTTGGCAGGAAATGGACTCCAACAGAGTATTTGTCACTATTGGTCCACAGCTCGATCTGTGCCAGCACCTGGTTGGTGAAGGAGTTGCTCATAACAAAGCTAGGGTGCCCCATGGCACAGCCCAAGTTGACCAGTCGGCCCTCCGCTAGCAGGATAATATGACGGCCATTCCTCAGCGTATAGCGATCCACCTGGGTGGGAAAAAGCAAGAGTAGTGTGATGTCAGGGTAAAGAGAGCATTTTAAATCATTCAAAGCTTGGTGGGCTTTTTTCTTCACATCAACAATTCAGCAGTGGGCTTGCACCACAGACTTCGATTACAGTTGAGACTCCCCTCCCTCAGTTCCCAGTGTTTGCAAAGCCTGCGGCTATTCTGGACTTCACACAACATGAATCTTAGCCTCTGCTTCATATTTAACCAGTTATCCAGTTCTTCTGGTTCTTCCACATGCATGTTGTCTCAGGCGGCTGTGGTGGGGAGCATAATGCTAGCAGTAAGATGCAGTTCATGTATGCTTAATTGTAACAACCGGTGTGGAGAGACAGGAGAGAAGAGGCAACACCTCTGCATGCACCAGTCCAGAGCCTTTCCGTCTAACACAGGAGCAAGAGCCAGAGTCCTCAGCCTGCTGAAACTGCTCCCCTGTAACTCTTCCCACTTCCATAAGGCCAATGCCTTAGGTATATACATATAATGTACATATATAAACAGCTGTCCTAGCTTCTGGTGTACCCGCTGTTGCTCTCAGGGGGCCAAAGACATGGTCCTCCACTCAGACCAATTTCCAAGCTATGCTGGGGACAACAGGACTCTGCACACAGAATCAAGTCTCAGATGGGCTAAGGAGACAGGTCTTCAGCTACAGGAGAGAGTCCCACACGATCCAGAAGATAATGTCACTTAATATGCGCCTCAACTGTCTGGGCCAGACTGGGCTCCTGCAACACTGAAGTTAACTCTGCTTCTCCTTTCCACCAGTCACTAGCTCTTCTCTCCTCTGCCTTCACCCCTGCAGTACATTACAATGAAACACCCATATGGCCTGTGAATACTGAATATTCTTGTAATTTACCAGATTTATTGCTCACATCACACCAAACACATTGGAGTAGAGCAAACATTTGTAAAGACTTAAAAGATCATCAACAACCAGCTCTGACAAAGGTTAATGCTTTAGACAAGTCCATTTATCTTACAATGTAGTGGCACAGCAACTGTGAAAGACCTGAAAGGGTCTCTCCCCACAGCTGTATTTATACTTTTAGTCTCAGAAGATATTTAATATGAAGCAAAACACACATCATTTTCAGTTTTATTCTTTAAGTTTTGCCCTGTAAGTTAAAAGCCATGTGGGATGAAGCTTTAACCGTAACAATACCATCTTCTGAAAAAACATCTTTGTGTAGGTCCTTAGCAGAGATGTAGAATCATAGAATCGTTTAGGTTGGAAAAGACCTTTAAGATCATCCAGTCCAACCATTAACCTATGCTACCAAGTCCACACTAAACCAATCAAGGGTAGACCAGACTGAACCATGTCCCCGAGTGCCACCTCTGCCTGTTTTTTGAACACTTCCAGGGATGGGGACTCCACCACCTCTCTGGGCAGCCTGTTCCAATGCTTGACTATCCTTTCCATAAAGAATTTTTTCCTAATATCCAACCTAAACCTCCCCTGGCACAGCTTGAGCCCATTTCCTCTCGTCCTATTGCTAACCACATGGGAGAAGATGTAATAAGTAAATCAATAGAAACAATTTTATTAGAACAGCTATTTTGCCTTCAGAGCAGGTCTGTGCCTCCACCTGTCTCCCCCAGCCATGCTTCAATCGCAGCACTACTTTCTACTTCTTGGGTTCATGTAACAGATTATTATGTTTTCAGCACAACATATGCAGACAGTAACCACCTGAAAAAAGAAGCCCTAAATAATTCTTAATTTCCCCTGTCCAAGAGCAGTACAGCAAGTTTGGGTTGGTAAGAATGCTCTCCACTGAGCAGTTGCAGTATTCCTTATGGATGCTGACTGTCCATTGTAGACCACACCAGTGACAGTGCTCAGCCCACCCAAAAAATACCATATCAGCTATCATATGGGAGAAAGTAATGAAACAGAGAAGGAAGCAGCCAGAAAGCAAAACACTAAAAACCCTGAGAACAGCTACAATATTACTTATATTAAACATTATATTTACAGATTAAAGTACTACAAGGTAGCAGTTAAGTAGCATTTGAGTTTTGAATTCTGAATCGAGTGGTTGAGGTGTCAAAACATTGTATCTACACAACTTGCACCTGGACAGCTGCTGGCTTGTGCATGGAATCCCATACCTTCAGCAATCTGCTGACATGACTCCTTCAATGCACAGGGTAGCGCAGAAAATACCAAGTAATGTCTTTGCACAGAAATAAATACAAAATAGTAGTGGCACCAGCAGAGGCTTAAATCAGCACTGTGGAAACACATCTCATCTATGAGGAGATAAGCAGGCCGATTCACAAGCTCAAGAAATTGCTACAGAAGCAAAATTCTAAGTTATCCAAGCATTAAGTCCATTTCCACACTTACACAAATGCCTCCTCTCTTTCCCCATTGGCATTTAGCCTCCTCTGGACTTTCTGGCTGCTTTGCACTTCCCTCCACACCATGCCAAGCAAATAATTTATTTTCGGAGCCCAAGTTCATTGATCCCAGCCTGACCTTTCCTTCCCCTCTAGAGTTAAGCCTGTGCTATATATCAGTCCTTCACATCAGAACGCGGCTGAGCAGGACTGCAGTGCGACCCCATATGCAAAAGAACCTGCCACCTTTTCAGTAATAAGCCTATTTCCTCCTTAACTGTACTTCGAAAGCAACAGATGCATCAGAATGGCCCAATAAGATGTTTTCCTTTCCCAAGTATTAAACATTTCTTACACCAGCTCACCACTTGTAAAAGGAGACCGAATGGTACTGAGAATTAACATGTTGGACACTTTCACGATTACTCTGTACCTCTAGATGAAGTCTAGCAGCTCTGGTATTAACCCTCTGATCAAGAGACAGATGTCTTCACAGGAGGTTAAAGGTTTTTTTGCTCTTGTCCTATATTCCCTTCTCTGCTACAGGATATAGAAAAAAGCTGCCAGGTCTTAGTAAAAATTTGAATATTTAGAGAGTTAGTGCTTGGTATTATGAAACACAAGATACCCCACCCAGAACATTGGCGTAAAAAAAATACACGTTATTCTAAGAGTAAGTGCAAGGTCTCACACCTTTAACACAGGACTGACCTCCCCTTGACACCCCAAAAGACTAGGGACAACATGACCACAGAAGCGTCCCTTTGATGAATCTGAGCAACGAAACTGAAAAACCAGCAATGGCCTCAATGGCAAACTGATAATTTCCTTCCCAGATTTCAGTGTAAGTGCAATCATATCCATTATTGCAATGACTCATCACTGCTGCCCTGAGAAAGGTCCCAACACATGCAGATGAGTTCCCATGCAGGTAGTAAGGGACAGAAGCTGCAGGATACCTGCTAGGAGTTTGTTTCTAAACCTAAAGTTAATGCATGTCCTGGAAGAGTTAAGCAATTGCAGCAGATTTCTGCTCAATGCCTTTTAATTTGTTTCAAGCATGGAATTTGGGGCTCGAAAGTCACTTTTTGCCTCCCACTCCTGCCTCTCCCCTCTGTGAAACGAGTAAGCTTTTAGGATGTGCATTAGTCCACTCCTGCTCAGTTGCCCAGCCACCATGGCAATCAGGCACAGAGAATGAAAATGAAGAATAATGAAGCTTTTACACAGCAGGACTTGTTCATGTGACACCTGCTCCGCAGGTACCTCCTTACCTTGTCATGCAGGTCTGAAGTGTTTGGGGACAAGAAATCTAAACAGACACAAAATGGAGTATACCACTAGCACAGTGTAGCTACATAAAGCATTAAATACACCAATAACAGAGTCCAACTGGAGATTCAAGCTAGTTAACAGTGCTTCAGATTCACTGCTAGAAGTCAACAAAACCCAAGTACTAACCTGAGTCAGGGACCAGCTTTTATTGGGCTTGGCAATGTACACATCTATAGGCCATCCTCACTGCAGTAAAGCTTCAAACATGTGGAACGGCCACATAAGATCAGATTTACCTCTAGGCACATCCCATCTCCAGTAATAGCCAGTAGATGGGTAAGAAAAAGTACGAGAACAGCCCAAGGGTAAAGTGCTATTTCCCCCCAGTAAATCCTCTCAGCTTCAGCTACCCGTGCATCAAGCTGAGAGAGAGGTGGGCCACTCAGGGCTGTCAGAGACACCTTTCACAAACTTTACCCAATGACTTTTAAGCAAACACACCTGTGGCACCCACAGCACATTGGGCAGCTATTTCCACAGCTTTTGCTCTGTAAACAGGCATCTCCTTTGCATCATTCTGAACATCCTGCTTGCAACAGCAGCGGTGTATCTAACAGACCAGAGAGATTCAGAGCAGGAAGTCGGTCTGCAGCATGAAACCATAGAGATGACCTTGACACTAATTGCATCCTTCTGAAAAAGTAACATGCTGTTTTTAACCAGAAACATGTTGCCGTTTTCCTACCTTGGACTAGACTGCTTCTCATTGCACCTAATACATCTGTAACAGACTAGCTCCTTCAATACAGAGTACATAAATTGACTACTACCTCCGCCAACAGTGACACAATTTTTCATACAGACTTTAAGAGCCACATTGAATGGCCATGTGCAGGTAGTTTGTATTTTACCACATTAACACCCAATTTAGCTTTCAACAATGTCTACTTTTTGAGCAGTCCCATTTATTTTTAAAACCCAAGCTACCAGAAAGCAAGGAGCTAGCTGCAGGCTCCTCTAGGACAAGAGCTGTTGAGCAAGCTCCACACCAAGGTCACAGGCAAGAACAGACTTGAATATAGCGAGAACTTGAGGGTATAACTTCATACCTAGTTGAGCCCACGTGGAGTGTCTCAACAGCAAACAGGACACCAAAAAGACTCTCACAACTGCTTGGTAAGACTTTGATGTGGGTGGCCAGTAAGCCACAAGGGAGTTATGAAAATTGGAAGGGCAGATTGAGATCTACTAAGACATATGCTTGGGTGTGGTGTTTTTAAAAAGGTAGAAAACCTGTCCCAGAATCCTACTATCAGCAAGCACACTCCCTCTTTAAAAAGTAACTAGAAGTCCCATGCCAAGTCAGACAAAGCCTGATTTGCTTTATGTGATGTTCTCCCTCAATGCTGGTGTTACAAAACAGTTTTTAAGTTCATTTTCTCTGCTTTAGGACACATGGCCGAAAAATTGAAATGTTTAGATCCCTATTTTCCTGTGTAGCTACTGCCATAGCTTGAAGTAAATACATGGTGGGAATGCAAGCTGAGCAAGGATAAAACATCCCACCTTGTCTGCCCATGCAGGTTTCTAAAATGAAGCCACTAAGTCTGGAAGAGAAGTCTGAGTTTGGCAAAGCTCCAGACAGGCTTTCCTGAGGCTTCAATCTCCAAGTAAAAAAAAAAAATGCTTTGAAAACAAAGAGGTGTGATTTCTTCCAAACCCTGACAGAATCCCAGAAGACATTTCCTTGAGATTCACTGGCACTGTTTTCAGCTGGGGGCTATCAAAGAAAGGACATTTCCATACCTCAAACATCAAAGCTGACTTCCTGTACAGAACGAACATGATGCATCTAATTGTCTACACAACCACCACAAAGGGGTACGCTCCTGTTTGTCAAAAAAGTAGGAACAAAGAGAAAGATGTATCCATACCAGGAGCCTCTTGCTGTATGCTTGGGCACTGGCTGGAGCCAATTGCTTTAATACCCACACGAGAATATGACATGCAGCTTGTTCCAGGTTAATTGGGGAAGGGCAGAGCAGAATCTCCATTCTGATCAGCCCAGAGCAACACTGGCTTCCAAGAAAGCTAGAAACAACGTACCTGAAGATAAATACCTCCCTTTCTGGAATTAGACACTAAGAGCTATTGCTTCTTTCTAGCAGGAGAGTTTGTGCGAGGGCTGTCTCACCTGAGGTTTAACATTCACTGCCTCTACCGCATTTTCATTCAGCCACTTTGCATCAACTTCCACATCAAAATGGCCAATATTACACACTATGGCATCATCCTTCATCTGCTCAAAGTGCCTGAAAAAGAAAAAGTTATATTAAAAATTAATGCACAAAAAAGATTTCTTCAGCAGCAGAAGAGGCTCTGGTCCATAGCTCTGCTCAAGGAGAAATGAAAAGTGCCTGGCTCACTGACTGCATTTGACTCTCACAAGATGTGCGGGTCTGGTAATCTTCCAGGCACATGAAGTCTACTGGAAAAAACTCTCAAGCTTCTAGGGAAGGACACTTCCCAAGGACAAGAGGTTATTGCAGAGAAAATACTGTCCCAGTATGGAAAGTAAAACTATTTTGTTTAGTTGGTCAAAACAAATACCTGCAGTTATTCTCTTTCCTACACAGAAGAAGTAGTTTTCTTCGTGACTTTAAAGCTTCCAGCAGTTTTACATCTCTAAAGACTAATGGCCTTATCTCCCCCCACTTAATCTGATCTTCCACTACAACATGTACAATCATAATGGCAAAGATAGGAATGGGTTTGTATAGAGTGGAGGGGCTATAAATTGAGATCTAAGAAGCAGTAACAAAAAAACTGCAGGGTAGTTTAGTGAGAACAGGCTAGTTTCAAGTCTGCTGTGTGTACTCACAGATAGAATCACCTTCAACCTTTACCTACCTCCTCTTCTGTTCACATTTATCTGTCCTAACACAGAATTTAACCCTGGTACCCTCGTTCTCCAAAAGTCAGTCTACCCCTCTACACCTTTTGTTTCTCCATCCTTACATGCCGTAAGACAGGAACAATTGCAACGTGGCAACAATCCAACAGAACTGAAAGACCAAAGCCATGATTTCTCACTAAATCAATGCTAAATTCTGATGTCCAGAAATGAGACTGTGTGCCAGCCCTCACTATACCACTGACAAGTTATGACTGTATTTAAAAAAAGTTAACTGTACAGGTATGCTTTCACTAAAGCAAATGGCTAGACCATACCTGCCCTGAACAATGTCAGTGCAGCCGGTGGTGGTAACAAAGATATTGCCTTCTTTGCAGGCCTCCTCCATGGTTGTAACTTCATAACCTGAAAAGAGAAAAAGTTATTCCTCTCCCCCACCACCAGCACTTATTAAAAAGTGGGCTACAATATTACAAGTAGAAAAAGTACAGCAAAGTCTGTGCCACACATGACCTATGGAGGATGCAAGGCAGTGGGCATATTTGTCTTACTAAATACCAGTGTAGTACAAAAATATCTATCCCTCACCTGTTTCCAGTCTGTAGATCTACACATTCAATGTCTTACAACCATAGGTGTAGCACCTGGCACAGCACTCAGACTGGATTCAGGGGTCACGTTTGCACAGGGAAGTGCACCCACAACACCCGCAGCTTTAGTCAGGTATGACTAGAAATGGGATAAACTGGTACAAGAAGCACAGTTACATGAGGCACCCACAGAAGGAGCACAGCTTCCAGAGCACGCCGTGAGCACAGCTGGAAAGGCAGAGAGCATGGCATTGCTCTCCAAAAACATCTACTGAAGGTAAGGCCTGGTGTTTTACTGTGGAGATATTCTAGTGAAGTCTTAACCCACACCGGAGGTTAAAGTCACACAACTTGAAGATAACAAACCCATTCAAAACCAGGCTTACAGCATTATAAAATGGGGGCCTTACCCCACTATGGTCTCCATATCCTTGACTCCAAACACATCTTCAAGGCCTATTCTAATAAACTCCTTCCCTGACCGTAAGGAAAGAATTCCTGCAGTTGAGCAGTTGAGGTAGAGTTGACTCCAGTTTAACAGGGACAGGGCTGAAACCCCCTGAAGCTTTCTTGGCCAACTATCATTTATTGCTCTACACTGACATGCAGAGACCCCCCCGTCAGATGCATTAATTTCTGCATCTCCTTCAGTTCTCACCTTCCATGGCTGCCTGCAGTGCGTTGATGGGATCAATTTCAGTGATGATGACTCTGGCTCCAAAGCTCCGCAGGGCCTGAGCGCAGCCTTTGCCCACATCGCCATAACCTGCCACGACTGCTACTTTTCCAGCAATCATGACATCTGTAGCACGCTTGATGCCATCAATGAGGGACTCTCTGCAGCCGTAAAGGTTATCAAACTTGCTCTGAGGAAGAAAAGGGAGTAGTTTCAGAATAGATGAAGTCGCTCAAGTAAAAATTCCTTAGAGAAACAAAATGGACTTTCATGAAAGTACTACAAACCAGGAGGCTGACAGTCAGCTAAATACTTTAGCCACAGCGAGGGATGGGAAGAAGAAACTCATTTGATGTTTTTATTTATCCAGTTTCAATCTATATCATTATACCAGATACAGGCTTCAGCACCCCCCTGGTAAGAAGCATTTCATAAATATGTTATGTCTACTGACTAGAGCTTGGGCATGTTAAAAGCTTGTTAGAGGTAACCTGAATTTATCAAGTAAAAGCACAAACAATTCTTGCGTACAGAGGTAGGTCAGAGTTCCTTAACCAGATATTCACCAGTTCTCTGCTGCTGTTTATCAGAGAATGAACTGAACCAAGTGCCACAGATAGGCAAAAAACCACCAGCAGGGTATCTGGCCAATTGGTTAGCACATATTCTTAACTTTGCAAGACACATGCACCCTGCAGAAGTAGCACATTGCCCACATCAACCATGAGAAATTAGTTCCTTCAGCCCAGGAAGATCAAAATTGCATCTTCCCTCAGGAACAGTTACGCTAACGCTGCCAGACCTCAGCACTGCTTAGAAAAATCCAGCAAGTAGCCATTCACAATACTGGTCACTGCAACCAAGAACCCCTGGATTTCATCTCCTAATGCCCCATCGCACAACGTCCTCCTACTGTAACATTAACACATGAGCTTAACAGCCAGACCTCCAAATCAAAATTCCCCTGCTAAGTCAGATGTCAAATAGTACTCCACTTGACCATCTTCCTAAACTCAGAAACACATATTGCTGTACTGATTTTTGTAATGCTCCTCCTTTTTCTCCTTGGGCCCTTTGTTTTGACCTGGAAGATGGGCTGTATAAGCAGATTTGATTATCTGAAAAGTTACAGAAGCCAAGAATTAAAAAAAATCTGGCTACCAAAGTTGTGCTATGCTTCCCAAGGCAGGGGTATAAAGAACTCACCATTCACAGTAAAATTCTGGTCTCAAAGCCTGACCTGTGCTTTCTACAGCCTTAGATCACCAATCATTCTTGCTTTCACTTAACACAGGTAGCGCTCCGTCTGCTATAAGCAATCTTAAGACTGCATACCTAGATGTGAGTAGGGGCACTGATCGTTCAAATGGGACCCACCTTGCAGCTATGGCTGGTGCCATCTAGCACGTGCAAGATGTTACAATTTGGTTTTCAGTCTACAGCTTACAACTAATTTTTTTTTATAATAAAAAAATGCAAAGTCCACATATAAAAGTGTTGCAGCTATGACTCCAATGCATTATCTGAGCAAGTTACGAGGTACAGTGGCATATCACTCCCAGCCTCAGAAGCTGGCCGAGGACTAATGTGTAAGAAGTTATACTTCAGATCCAGAAGTTCCTGACTCAGTGCCTGTAAGTCTTATCACAGGCACATTTGGCATTAATATTTCAGAAAATTTATGTTACCAGTCCTTCAAATTCCAAAGCTAGTGCCAGTTCATAATCCTCTCCTAGTCCTCCAGCAGATTTTCCTTGCAGTATAAGCCTTCTTATGGAGGAAAACAGCATGGTCAGATTTGATTCCTCATCACCAAATCCCCCAATTGCAATCAAGGCCTTCCAGACGCCTGTGCATTCCCATGCAGGCAAGGGAGCAGAGTGCCAGACGCAGACATCTGTCCCCCCAAAAAATACATTTGAGTGGCAGTAGGGAAGAACAGAACTGGATGGATGCTGCCTGCCTTCTCTCTCCAAATACTAGTATAGGAACCTGGCACCAAGCGAAAATATCAAACTGGGAGAGCAGAATTTGTCAGCTCAGTTGCATGTCTTCCTGGAGATCTGTAACTGTGGTTAGTACAAATCTTTTACTACATGAATACCGAACAGTACTTGAAAATAAGCACTTTCTTGGCACCAAAGTGAGCTCAACCCAAATCCACTCAAGAGGCTTATTTAGAAACATCTGAATTCCAAATCTGCTAAACAGTATTAATAGCTATTACACAGGAGGCACAAATCTAGGTGAAAAGGATGCAGAGAAACAAGCTTCTTCCAAGATCAACTGGATTCCGGCCCACTAGCTATGAAATAAAATGCCAGATGCATCTTTGTGAGCAGAAAGGAAGATACTCTTCAGATAGCAAACTGCAGAGAAAGCAGACCAAACAGTGAGAACTGCCATACCCAATAGGATAATCTTAGTATGGTAACTTGAAATAGATTTAGCAACCAGATTTAAACACACATCTAGATGCATAAACCTTAAGTACACCTGAAATTCCCACTATAATTCATCTGCATCCAAAAAGCACCAGCACCCTTCTCCCTCATCCCTCATTTCACCAGGCTTTGTCTCGGGAAGCAGTAATACAGCCAAGCAAGGAATAAATACCTCCTGCCCTATCCTTTGCAACTGCTGCTTGCAGAGGTACCTTGTCAGATCAACTGACCTTTACCAGTCACAAGCCCATGTAGGTCACACTCTTTTTTCTCTTTTCCAGCTGGTACCTGCCACCTACCCATGGGCTTTAAGCTACTTAGAGTGAGGACATGCCCCTTGCCACAGGAACTGACTGTACCCCAGGAGCCACGATTTCCAAAGGTGTTTTCACATTATTAAAATGCAGAAGAATGCATGTCCTTATATACAAAAAAAGCCCTTGATGTTCTGAAAACAGGGTGTTTACAATGGCATGTCCCATTAGAGACATCATGGGCTCACTTCAAGGATATGGTGAAAATCTGTTCAGTACCAGGTCAAGAATAGCTCGGCAAGAGAAGGAATACTTGCATGGGAACGACAACATCCCAACACCAAACTGGTCAGCAGAACATAGCAGAAAGGCTCTAGCTGCATTACCTTGGTGACGGAGTCGTTAACATTGATAGCTGGCACTTTTAGGGTCCCATTGGCCTTCATCTTGTACAGGTTGTGAACTCCAGTGGTTGTCTCTTCTGAAATACCTCTAATTCCTGTGGGGGGAGTAAAAGGCTTCACCTTAGTTGGAGTTAACACTGCTGCAGACCAACATATCCAGGTGCTGGGAGCATCTTCCAGAGGCCTAAGTTAAACAAACCCTTTGCAGGAAGCAGGGAAGAGATGAAAACCCTCATTTGGATCCTCAAACAGTAGTTTGAAACTTCAAACCAGTTTCTTCCCCCACAAGGCAATTAAAAGACGAGGACAAAATATTCTGTGGAAAAATGGGAGGGACCAGCTCTGGACCAGGGAATCAAGACAGACACCACTCATCTATTTTCTCACAAAATGATCAAAAAAAACTCTTCTGCAAAAAGGGCAAGATGTTCACCTCATGATGTTGCTAAAGCCTAGTCCATTCTTGCAAGGTGGCTTGAAAGGAGATGATACCTAGGCAACCACTAAAGCACTTGGATCAACTGAAAAAAGTGAAAAAGTCAAATACACCATTCACCATTCCCAATCCTCCTGTTGTAATCAACTTCAGCTCTGATTAAACAGCCGACACCCCTCCCCCAAATCTGCATACTAGCTACATGAAACTTCAGCACAATCAAAAAACATTATTTCAAATATATCCTTCTTTGAAAACAGTCCAAGAGGCAGAAACCAGAGACAAAGGACTGTCTAGAAACACCAACATCATATAATGGACTAAGATCCTGATAACATGGCAACTGTCACGGGGTTGGCCTTGCTCCACATTACTCCAAGAAGCCAAAGCTGCAAAGGCACCCCCTGCTTTGAGGGCCCTGACTCGTTGTGGACCTTTTGACAGCAGCCAGTTTGCTCAGAAATGGCATCACTGCACATGACTCCTGGATATCTCTCATCTCTAAAGTCTCAATAGTCTCATTATATATAAGCTGTCCAGTTGCTACACTGGGCAACACCCTGAATACTTAGAAAGCCTCTCTGCACAAAAAGGTACACAATTTATGACAATCAGAATAAATCTGAAACTAAACTATCCGATCTGGCTGAATTTCCACTGTACAGTAATTATGTTTGTTCTTTAACGACCAGAGGCATACTGCAAGACAATTATTTTGTTGAAGTATGAACTATTGGGGGGAAAATAGAGATATTCTGCTAAATCAGGCTGAAAACACCAACACAAGCAACATCTCTATAATGAGATCTATGTGGCACTTGGAGCTAATTCAGATTCACAAGAAAAGAGAACACATGAAAAGGATGAATACGAAGTTCTATGGACACCAGAGATTTATGCAGAAAAGATATTGCCCCTCCAGGCAACTGACCTCTCACACTGACCTCAGAATAAAATTGAAAGGATGCTCATAAGAAAAATAATTTTACAGTCATTTTGACAGAAAAATTCGGAGAAATAAACAACATTCATAAATTGTTCTGTTCAGGCCCTTTTACGGATGAAGTGGGTGACAGCCCAGGTTATCCTATGTGAGTGCACATGAACAGACAGAAATACGGCTCCTTTTCATGTCATTTTTCTTAATTCCTCCCCCTCACTGTATAACATATAATCACTCCCAATTCCAACATACATTCTTTTATCCACACTCTATCCACAGCCCCCCTGGTGTTTCAAAGAGCTGAGCACTAACCTTCCTATTTCACAAATAGCAAAAGCAGAGGGGCCAAAGGACCAGGCCAAGATCACCAGCAACGGCAGGGCTCCTCAACCACAGCCCGCACACATCCTCAACAGCCAATATTACTTTAGGGATGGGCAAGTAGGAACCAACAGCAATAACCCCCAGCAAAATCCAAAAGAATTATTTATGCAGTCTGTTAATTCTGGGTATCAGAAGAGAGGTGTCCAAGTGTCACTACCTCCTCAGCCACCAAGACCTACAAGAAGTTCCCTAGCAGGCTACAGGAGCACAGCTCTTGGGAGAAGGCAGGCCAGTGCTTTGCCCCAACCCTTTGGGTTTCATCTGCCCAGCTGGAACAAGAGCCATGGTGACAGCCACCGGGAACCCACAGGCTCAGGTCACACCCTCCCAAGGGGGTGCATGAAAGGGAGGAAAGGGGAATCCCAGATTTGTACCAGAGCTCAATTAAGTGACAAAGCATAAAGCTTGTTAAAGTCATCTTCAAAGCTCACGGCTTAAGCTCTCAGGAAGCACGGCTCGCTGTGTCTCCCCCCAGCCCACATCCAGGATACACATGCCCCCGGCCTGAGGTCTTCCCCCTTCCAAATCGGGGGGCCTGTGGCAGCCCCCCGCGCTCCATGGCACAGCACCACCCCCTGGCATCACCACCCCCTGTGAACCTCCCACTCGCACCCTGTGCACGGAGACCCCACTACGACCCCCTCCATGAACCCCTCCAGCCAGGTCAGCAGCACACAGGTGCCGATTCTGGGTCAAACCCATCCCTACTGCTTAGAAAAGCTGAGAACTGATCTAAGCCTAGATGAGCAACACAAGCCAAGGACACAGACAACTTCGGCTGAAGTCTCCAAGTGCGATTCAAAGTGGTTTTCAAACCAGAATTTGTACAAATGTCTGAACAGACTCTAAGAAGAGCCATCATATCTCCCTTTCTCTTCCCAGACCACCAGGCAGAAGCACCGGCACCCTTGTGTCACACAAAGGAAGCAAGACAAACAACACTAGAAGGCAATAGAGCTTGATTAGGCCGATTTGTCCCCATGGAGGTCTGTCTGACCACGGACCTCACACAGAGCTTGCGGTAACTACGCTCCCCACATGGTTACCTGCAGAGAGAACGAGTTCAGGCTTTAGCATATTTAGGGCTTGCTTGGACAGGACAGGACAGTTCAAAGAACATTGCCTGGTGCACAGTGAAATATAGCACCTGTGGTAAGACACCCAAAAGTATCAGTTTTCCAGTGCAACTGCCTAGATCAAGTATAGTCATACCCTTGTGAAGGAAACCCTTGAGGGCCGGAGCCCCTCTGCTGCGAGGCCGGGCTGGGGGAGCTGGGGGTGTTCAGCCTGGAGAGGAGAAGGCTGCGGGGAGACCTGAGTGCGGCCTGGCAGCGCTGAAAGGGGCCTGCAGGAAAGACGGGGACAGGCTTTTTAGCAAGGCCTGTTGTGACAGGACAAGGAGTAATGGATTTAAACTAAAGAAGAATAGATTTAGACTGGACATAAGGAAGAAATTGTTTACACAAGGCACTGGCAGAGGTTGCCCAGAGAGGCGGTGGAGGCCCCATCCCCAGAACCATCCCAGGCCAGGCTGGACGGGGCTCTGAGCACCCTGCTCTGGTTAAAGCTGTCCCTGCTCGCTGCAGGGGTTGGGCTGGATGAGCTCTAAAGATCCCTTCCCACCCCAAGCGTTCTATGATTCTATGAAATCTGGGGGCAGTCAGGGCAGAAACCTCCAGTTCAAACCTGCCCTCTCTCTTCTGGTCTATCTGGCAACTAAGAGACACACTTGTCATCCTTCAAAAGCTCTCCAGGCTGACATTTCTAAGCTTAGCAGATTGTCTTTAAAATGGCACTAAGCGAACCTCGCATCATGGACACCAGCAGCTTCCCTTCCCTGAAGGCCACCTGCCTGCTGCCCCCAGGTGACATTTACAGCTGGTCTAAACTACTTTGCAACTCTGCTAAAAGCAGCACTGCCTACCCCACCCAATTTCAATGCCTGAGTGACTGGAGAACAGGGAAGTGCCTACAGCAAGGAAAAGGTTGAATTAAATTGAAAAAGCCTTGCTAAACACTCAGACCTGCTTTGCTCCCCTGTATTTCTTACCTGACCAATGAGCAATCCGCATCAATGGACCACAAGTGATCCCATCTTCTCCATCCTTCCTCAACAGGAGTTCTGCACAGATGCCAGAGACCTCCCTCACACAAGTTCAGATGACTTTCTCCTTTGTTCAGTTCTAGTTTTCCCCCTCCTACCTTTATTTATCTTGGGTTTAAGGGCATTTAGTTTAGTGGAATAAGTCAGCAGTACAAAGACCATTCTGCCTGCTAAAAAAAAAGGGGAAGCTTGCTGAGTATTTCCACACAGCTATTTAACACATCTCCTAGTTGAAGTAGATTTGAATGAGCCCCACTTCCAACTGTTAGTTGCACACCAAGACTAAACTAACATCTGTTTAAGTTAGAAGCAGGTGAAGCATGGAGGACAGAATTAGCAATTAGCCCAGGAAACTTATCCAGTCTTTAAATGGTAAATGGCACTTCCAGATGCTGCATGCTGAAGTGTCTCCAGTCTCACAATCCAGTCTTTCCATACTGTGCAGGCTCTGCTAATGTTACCCTTGTCCTGCCTCTCCCCCAAAGAGGAGAAATATCACCACAAGCCCTTAGGATATATTAGCCTCTATTATCTTCAAGATACAGAAAACCAGATGCTACACAGCTTCATTTAAGCAGTCTGCAGCAAAGGGCTAAGTGCAGAGCTCAGTTAAATGAGATCAAGACTCTACGTGGTATGTCCCATTCTGGAAGTTTTGCTGTTTCCCAGGAGCAATGGACTGGAAGGCAAAACAGATCAAGTCCTGTCACCCTCCACAGAGGGTCTTCATTAGTTCACTGAACTGCTGCAAGGAGGCTTTTCAACTACAGTCAGCGCAGGTAGCGCACACATTTTGGCAGGGGAAATGTTGACAGGTATGACATCCTGCCTAGACTCTTCAAAAACGCAGTGGAAGAGCCATTCCTATGAATTTAGGAAGCAACCCCAGGCAGCAGGGATGTTTTTTATCAATGGCAGACTAGAGATGGATGCCAAGAGAGAAGACAGTTCAACAGCCATCACCCTATTGCACCATACTATACCAGCCCCTTCCACACCAGGAGCACAAGACAAGTAAGAGGGAGCAAAGGGCTGGAGGGGAGAAAGAAGCAGACAGCAGGAGGGCTGGACATGTGAAAGGTACTCAGCACAAGGACCCCCAGGAGCAGGGACACCAAGTGAGGTGTGGCACATGCATGGCAGGGAAACAACCCTGCAAAACAAGGACTATGGACATGGAAAATGCATTTGTTGGCCTCTGACAATGCCAGGAAAACAGGGAGGCATGATCAATTGTGGTATTCCTTGGCATCAAATGGCAGGAAAGCAAGAGGTCACGAACATCAGACAGAGGCAATCTAGGAAGCAAGAGACCTTTGACAGAAGAGAGGGGATTCCAGCATGGCTGAGCAGACACCAATGAAAACCTCTCATTACAGTTTAAATAACACAAAGGTGTTGACTGTTGGATTACTAATGACATCAGGTTGAGGATGAAGGAGAAAGCAAGGCCTGTCACACAGAAGTTTCCTCTCTTCCTTTGCACCTACCTGCACGAGCACATGGATGGGGAGCAGCCCCAGACTCCTCCCCTCATACAGCCCTATCCATGACCTGCCACCTTCAGATTTTTTTCCCCATAGCTTCCTCTCAAAGCAGGGTACGAGTCAGAGGAGAGCTGATCCAGCAGGCTTCGACAGCAACCTCACCTCTATGGACCAAGAATGAACATCAGCACAGCCCACTGTATCAGTTTAGTTTCCACCCCATATCACCATCTGATTTTCTTCACATCCCAGATCAAACATGCCCTTTAGCAACACTGGGCATCTGTGGCTTGCAGCAGCACAGATGATGGACACTGGCAGAGCTAAGGAGAATCTGTCGTATTGCCAGGCACAGATCAGCCTGCTACTGCAGGTCATGTCAAATGCCCTTCAGATAAATCTTTTTACATGCACTAGCAACATCACACTGATCCATTTTCAGTTTTACTAACTTACACTGAAGGTAATAAGTCAACAAAGCAAGAGCCCCAACCCTGACTCCATCAGCATCTCCACTGACAAACTGGATGAATTAATGCCTTGTAGTTTATATAAGGTAGAAAACTGTTCCCTTTCCAAGAAAGGCTACAGGTTGTCATGACTTCATCCAGAGGAGCACTAAGACAATGGGGAAGAAAAAGCATTAATGTTAAAAATATTAATTGCAAGTAGACATCAAGCAATTCTAAAGCACAGCCCATTTCTAGGAAGCTTTTAGCAAGGCAGTAGTACCACTGGTCATTCTCAGGTGATGGGCACTGTGAAGGATGGCCAGAAGGACAGGTCACTGTAGCTTATATACTACAGAGCAGAGATGGAAACAGCTCCTGCAGGTAAGAGACTCATTCATAGCCTGTTTGCACATGCCTGTCCCTCTTCCCCCACCCCTTTTACACAAGCAGGAAATTGCCACAGAAACAGACTGCCTAAACAGCCTCCCAAGCAGAACTGTGCCTGACAAAACAAAACACAAGTCACCTTTCAAGAGCTGTGGGTATTTGGTATGAACGAGGTTGGTAAGATCTCCACCATCATCCAAAATCATGTTGAGGGGCTGCCCGTCCTTGAAGTACAGGGTCTGCTCAATGCACCACAAATATTCCTCATCAGTCTCCCCTTTCCAGGCAAACACTACACAGGAATAAACACACACAGTTAGCCAGTTTCTTACTCAGCATGTAGCAAAGCAGCCAAAGGAAGATTTCATCAGCAGATTATTCTGGTAGCAGAGCCGACAGACAGATGATTATCTGTACCTGCAGGCCAAAAAAAGACATTTGCATTGAAAAAAAGATCTCAGAATGAGCAGAAGTGAAATCACTTTGCCTTCAGTTCCAGGCCATGAACTTGGTCAAAATTTTGAAGCTTCACCGCTCTCCTTACTCTTCTTCCATGTTAAGAGGGAGCAGGCAAAGCAAACTAAAGCAGACTCACATCCACAACGCCCCACTTGCTCCCCTAATACACCCTACATTACCAGGAATTAGAAATAGCCACTGGATATACCGATACAGACAAATGAAAACACAACTACAGCATTTTCTAGCACAGCAGAAAAGAGGGACTAGACTTCAGCATGAGCACCAGACTACAAACTCTTCAGAAACTTTGAGTTTAAATTCCAGTCTCTAGCACAGCACTAAAATCCAAGCTGCTGTGCCTTGTCTGCTCTTATTAGGGCATATTTCTTTATCAAGACAACTACCACAAGCAACATGCTGCAACCACTAGCATGTTGTATCTAGCAGTATTTTTGCCTTTCCAGGCATTTGTACTGGCTTCATGCTATACTTAAGCCCCAGCAGTACTCAGCCATTCAAACATATATTAGGCACATGATTTACATACCCCAACATTTGGCTAAATTGTCATGTTTTTACTGTTTACACAGAAAAGTAACTCTTGAGCCATGAAGAGCCAATCGTGCAATTGCCCCTTCTGAAGATATGTGCATCAGTATCTCATACTGTGTCCAAAGGATCAGCATTCCTCCAAGGTCTCGTAAATACAGTATGTGAATTGCAATATTAACAAAAAAGCAAGTTCCACAAAACAAGGATACCAAGGGGCAGAGGTCAAAAACTTAGACAAATGCTCCACCTGTAAACTGCTCTTCAGCTGAGTTTTGGGTGTTGAGAGCAGTGAGGAAGGCAACATCCTAACATCAGATCTAGAGAGTCCCGCCCGGTCCTTTGACATCACATGCCAGAGACAGGCAGAGGAGGTGATGCCTGCAGCTAGCAATGTCAAAGGAGCTGAAGGGACCATTTCCTTTGTTACCTTAGAATGGAACACAGCTGGGGAAAGACTCATGGCAATAGCTAATTATAACAGAAATGAAAGACACCTCCCAAAGCAAAGAACCAGGCTGCCAGAAATCGGATGTGGCCTCTGCCACCATCCGGGCTCAGGCTGTGCAGTTCCCTGCACAGAGCCATGAGGGCTGTATGTCCTTAAGCTGGGTAACACAGCAGACAGCTTAACATATTCATACTGATCTGCAAGGAACTGCTTTTTATTTGAAGGTGAGAGTAACAAACAGCAGCATCCTGATAAACCGCTTCAAGGATATTGGGCAGCACCACAGCTGGCCTAGCTCTAGCCTTAAAATATGTTGAGTATTGACCCTGTCACTGTAACAGGGCACACTGCAGTTAACATCCCTTCCCTAACACCTATTTAGCACCAAGCTTGCTGGAAAGCACCAGACACCTCCATCTACACACACTAACACACCAATCCATTTAATTACCCAGCCCATTCCATCATCTTAATGACCAGGCTTAAAGCTGGTAACCTACAGCCAGGCTCTTTCCCAGCCTAACACCAGCCATTGTCAGAGTCGAGGCAACACAGCTTGAAGCAAATGTCCTGTTTTGTAACAATCACTGCTTTTGATGGGCTACTTCTATCCTGAAGCTTGTTCAGAAGAGCTTGATTTAGCTAGAACAGGCAGTACACCCCAACTCAGCGCCAAATTAGAATGTGGAAAACTTACCAGGGATACCAGCTTTTGCAATAGCAGCTGCAGCGTGATCCTGAGTGGAGAAAATGTTGCAGCTTGACCATTGTACCTGGAAAACAACCCAAGTTTTGTTTGCTGAACAAAGTTCTGAGATATCGGGCACTTTTTTCCAGACATGGGAGTTAAAAAGGGAGCAAGAGCAGAAAGGCCTATTAGTGCAGATTCCTGCCTTTCTCAGCAGCTCTGCGAAGTTAGGGTGAAAACTAAGTATCTGACCAGGCCAGGGAAAATAGCGTCACTTTGGGAGAGAATGTAATGGAGCTTTAGCTGTGCCACATATTCAGCCATCTCCTCACTCACGAGAGCTTCTGCCAGACAGCCAGAGCACACATTCAGCTATAGATCTTCAGGAAGTGCACAGTAGGGTGGGTTTAGAAAGTTTTGGTCAATAAAGTTCAGATTTTCAGAACAGCCACATAGCAAGTGTCCACTGAGGGATATGGACATGCAGCAACACACCTGCTGGCACTCAGAAGAGTCAGAATTGCAGCTGAAATGCTACACTCGATCAACAGGTATTCTCCAAGATTATGCTCAGCCAACTCCCACTCTGTGCTCCAATCATGGAAGCTTTTCCAGCTGAGCTAAGCGTTTTCCACACAGATTCCATAACTAGGCTCAGGCACCTAGAAAAGCAACAGCATGTTGCTGAGTTCCATTGAAAATTATCGGCACGCCTACTGCAGCTCCCCAGCAGGCACAGAAACCACCACATCCCAGAGCCACACCAAGTCTCACTCTGCTCCCTACAGGGCTGACTAGCAGGTATTTGCATGCCTATAGGTAAGAGACCTTGAGGAGAGAGGGCAATAAGGCATAATCCTTCAGCCTGTTTTCAGATACTTATCCCACTTTATCAAGTATCAACACTTCAAAGTAAGAGCTGCAGTAGGAAGCACCTCATCTGAGCCTACACAACCTGTCAGAGAAAACACACCTGGAGACTAAATTCATAGAATCATAAAATCATTTAGGTTAGAACAGACCTTTAAGATCAAGTCCACCCATTAACCTAACACTACCAAGTCCACCACTAAACCAATTAAAGGTAGAGTAATAATTAATTTCATGTTTCCTGGCTTGGTGGCTGGATTATTTTTAATGAAAGTAAAAGTAGCATAGAATCATTTGTGACCTTCAGCACAGCACCTCCTCACCTGGGTTTTTCTAAGCTCCCTCCGTATCAGTACAGACAACATCAGGAGGTGTCATGAAATTCAAAGTACACCAAATACCTATTGTTTACACTTCAAGCACTTCATACAAGACATAGGCCACTTCAACTCTGCATCCTCAGGTCTGTAACACCAGTTTGTGATAATGGCATAGACACTAGAATACCTGGCATACCTGATGGGCTCAGAGCCTAATCTTTACATCACTGGTTATGAAGAGGATGCATTTTTATTACAATTTCAGAACTCATACTGAGGCACAGAGTATTTATTCTATCTTTGTTAACCTAGCCAAAAAAAAGGGATGCCAAGATTACTACGCTGCAGTGAACTACATTCCCATTATGTAGGGTATGGTTTCATCAGAGTTTCGCTCCTCCCTCGCAGGCACCCAAGTTCTGGCAGAACAGATGAACCAGGGCTGAATCCAAACTCAAGTCAAAGTCTAAACTACCGTGCAGGTATCAGGACAAGGAAGAAGCCAACACAACAGCACACATATAAAGGCACAACCGTAACTTACGCTTAGAGGAACCAAATCTCTGCAGGTACCTCCTTGAATGACTTGGATGAATGCCATACAACACTGATTTGGGGTTGTGCTCAGACTAGAGCAGCTTGGCAATGTTTAAATAAGCACAGAGGTGCTGCCCAGGCCAGCCATACTGGGATACAGCAACCAACAGGAGCAGCAAGGAGGTTCCCAAATTTCAGTGGCTACTGCTTTCTTTTAACTCCTGTGGAGGGACAAGAGTTTCGTACACAGAGTAGCTGGAATGAAGCCAGGACTGTACCTCCACAGCAAAGCTCTCCTTCAGCACTGCACCATTTGCAACCATGGAACAGCTCTGAACAGGCTGAAGAACACCTGCACAACAGCACATACCTTGCCCAGGCTGACCTGGCATGCTGTCTAGACCTATTCCCTCCACTTTTTGAGGAAATACCTTAGCTGCTGCAGAGAGATTCCCCCTCTCCCAGGAGGGAGATCTTTTGACCAGCATGACACTGCTCAATTCTTTTAACTCTTCCCAGGGAGGGATCCCATACACCTCCGGGTAGCCTGAGTTCAGGCAGCTAAACTTCAGGAAGAAGGAATTTCACATCACATACATAATTAATGTAATCCGTCATCAAGTTCCAGTCAGCTCCCTGCTCAGCACACAAGCTATGTGGATTGTACTCAGATGCCCGGCTCTCCTCATGCCCTGCACAGCGAACACTCAGCTGTGATGTCTGGACTTCATTCAGCAAGCCAGGCAGAGGACACAATGCAGTAAATGGCTTATAAGTACCCCAGCCTTTAATATGGACCAGGGTAACTGGTCCATAGTCACACAACAAATTCAAAGCCAGCGGAGCTCCCAGCCCTCGACCACTGAAGCACACTGCCTCCCTGTTGTTTTCCTGCACAGCTCAAGGGCCAGCATGAGCTCTCAGAAAGCTTCATTAGTTTTTGCTGACTCTACCAGGGCATGATGTGGTTCTTAATAGAGGCTAATCTGTGCTGGAGGCAGTCACTAGAGCTTCAGCGTTACCAGCAACAGCAGTGCATGCCCGAGCACAACACAATTGCGTGGGAGCAGCTTTCAGCACCGCTGCTCAGTGCGCTGTACACGCAGCTGACTGAGCTGCTGAAGCCAACGACCCAGCCCAAAACGGGCACTTGTGAAGACGCAGCTTGCCCAGAGGGAAGACACATACCACATCCCAGAGGTGCATGCAGTACAGGTGACAAGCTTTTTGCTTAAGGAGAGAAGACATAATCCATCCACCTGGAGACTGCAGCACGGTCTCTTCCAAAAAGTACAGATATTTGCCAGGATCCCCCAAGGTAGTTACAGAAGCAGTGCCCAAGGCAGAGCATTACCCAAGAGCACACTGAAGGAGAAACTCAGAGACACTTTACCTCAGCTCCCAGCTCTATAAGGGTCTCTATGAGAACTGCTGTCTGCACAGTCATGTGAAGGCAACCAGCAATACGTGCACCTTTCAGCGGCTTTGATGCAGCGTACATCTCCCGCATCTTCATCAGCCCTGGCATCTCATTCTCCGCAATCTCAATGGCCTTGCGACCCCAGTCTGCAAGGCTGATGTCAGCTGCAAGAGAAGGACAGGGTGTCAGAGTTTCAATAGCTGAGACGTTGGTATCTGTCCACACACTTGTGGATAGGCATCGGCTGCAACAGCTGAACTGAACACCCAGCAACAGCTGGGAGAGAGAGTTGGGGGAAAACCAGACCCTATTCCAGTTACTCCCTGCTTTTTTACTATAGCACAGAGGCTTTCAAACAAGTTTAGACCAAACCTAACAGCCCCTCTGAAAAAAGTGTGCTCCTGTACGAGCACATTAATCAACTGCGATCTAGCGTGCAGACATCCCGAGGCCCATTAATTCAGTAAGGCCCAGCCTTGAGCACTCCTCCTTACAGATACTGCCCAAGGGCCTGACACTTCTATGTAGATTTACTTCCACACTATTCAGACTTGCACGGAGGGGACTGCCTGTATGGCAATAGCTTCCCCACATGAGAACACACACAGCACGCTCCCTGCCAAGTGCACCAGGGGCTGAGCCCAGCCCAGCTCCCCCTCTTAAAAGCTAAGCCGCAGGCTTCCTACCCCCCTGCATCCACAAAGATGATTTTCAAGGCACCATAACTACCTCAGCTACAAGTCCACTTCTGCCTTTGTAAAAGGGATCTATAGTAGAAGAGTTCAGCAAAAACTGAACAAGGGAGACTTCCAACAGGGTAGCTTGGAGTAGAAAATACTGCACTCCCCATGGATGTCTGACCCTAGCCTCAAAAAGGCAAGGGCCAAAGAGCTAATGCCCAGGCGCAGCATTTTGTGGCACTGGCCAACACCAAGCGTCCCTCTGACCGGGCGAGCTCTTTCAGAGGAGATTTCAGAAGCTTACCGTTTCACTTCAGAACGTGGCGAGATACTTTTCTTACACCTACCTAGAGAACGCAGGCTGTGTAAAGCACATGTAAACACTAGGACCTCGGAGTCAGCCTGCCGCGTTGACTACAGACAAGCTAATTGCATTTTGCTCCAGAATGAAGCCTAGGGGCCACTGAAGCGATTGCGTGCGAGTTAGCCGACGGGTGCACAGCCCTTACACCAACGGGGACTGAAAAAAGCCCAGGCAATGGAAGGACCATGGAAACAACTGTATCAGGAGGGGAAGGGTATTGAATCTTACCCGTCCTAAGGGCTCGGTAGTTTTACCAGGGCTGCTTAAAAATATATCCTGTAGTATGTTAGGTTCATAGCCTCCAAGGGTAATTATTTATGAATCTGAGCCTCACAGAGTTCTCTTTGAACTTAGCCTTCAAAGAACAGACAACTCTCTATAAAAACTAGATTTTTTTTTTTTTTTTGGTGGAGTTTCAGGTCTACAGGAATACCCGCCAAAATCTTTAGGGGAACGCGTAACACAGGTCCTAGATTTACAGACACTTTCACATTCGGAGCGAAAGCCTGGCCTCAG